AAGTCCACCTTGCCATCGGGCCTCCTGCCCTATGAGCATTGCTCAACTACTCAACATTGCTGTTGTGAATAGTAATAAGTTGTTATATGATAGATCTAAGGCTAAACTTTCAATGAGCTCCAAATCTACATCCGACATTCGACTAAGGTGATTTGAGTATCCATTGAAAGCTTATTCAATAAATTAACTAATGATACTAATTTCATTTCTAAATTATTTTATTCTAAAGAGTTATACACCCAAACACGAACTAGTAGCATTTAAATACTTTTTTCACAAGTGGGTCTTCAAAACTCATTCCAAGTGACAATAGCTCACACAACCACCTAAATCATACTCAAATGACTTAAGACAACCTGTGCAACACATTACAACACACAAATACAATCAAGATCTCATTTTCACCCATTAACCTCGATTTTATCAAAAAGTAAGGGGGAGGTAAACATCATTCAATCCACTAAGTAACCATTTACAACCTTTAAAAAATAACTCATGACATATTTGCACTTGTATTTTAGTTTAATAAAACATGAATGATTCATACAGCATGACCTAGGGTAAAAAATACTAACAATTAACCATAAATGCATATGATGGTACAAGTAATCAAAATAATCATTATAGTTGGCAATATCATAGCAATTACACATAAATTATTTAAAAAGCAAGGTTATATAGTAGGAAGCTGAGTTCCTAAACCTCAATTGCCTTTTCCTTATCTTGACTAGAGCTACCATCTATAAACATTAAATGAGAAGTGAGTACAATCACTTGATAATTAAGGTAGTCTAAAACATGCTCATACAAGTCAAATAATCAAAAATATACAAAGTGGACAATAATAAAAAAAATTAACATCATTAATCACAATTCACAATACAAGGCATGATCATCCATTTTCTCTAAACCTCCATCATTGTTGATTGAATCCATGGGCTACAAACTAATTAGGAATTAGCCCATGTGATTAGGTTAGCCCAAACTCTCCAATCATGAGAGGTAATTCAATAAGGCCTTACACTTATTTTCAAACCATAAATTTCCCCCAACTTAAACATAAGAATGTCACAAAACCCTCTAGCTAACCTCACTAGTTGGAGTTTATTAGGCCCAATTACCACCTTTGCTAGGCAGGGTTTAAGAGTATAGTAAGGAACTAAACATTGAGGCTTCATGATGATAGTGTGATTCATATGGATATAAATCACTACTCCATTAAGGCGAACTCCTGCCATCAATATGATCATGCCAACTCATCACATAACATATTCAATTATCATCATCATACCCATCTTCATTAGTAACTCTTCTAATTTCAAGAAGTGAAAGTCATCATTTTAATATTTCACAATTACATAAATATATAAAGCCATACTTGCCTATTTTCAAAAATGAAAACAACATATAAATACATAAAGTAAATATAGTTCCAAAGTTCACAAACACTTATAATTAATTTAACAAGCAATAACACAATAGATTCCCCTAGTTACCTCAATTTTTTGGAAATTCAAATGTTATCCACAAATATCACTTACGTCAGAGGTAAACTCAAGCTCTTTGATGCTTCACGAGGTTAATATATAATTTGGATTAACCACCATCACTGATAATCATCAAAATAAACACTTTCAACTTCTAATTTCACACTTTATTAACCAAATTTTCTTAACCACAAGCTCAATCTCATAACCAATGAGTTTGTTAACTCTTATTAATTTACTTTAGCCCCTAATAACTCAAATAAACATTAATATGGCATTTAACAATTCAAAATTATCCTTTAGAGGCTCAAGGCTCATCCATATTAGATAATCCAAGCTCACCACCTTGTAAAAACTTCTAAATTAGGTGTAGAATGCTTAAACAACTATTATTACTCTCATTTGGACCAACAAGTTAATACCTATAGCTCTAGGTTTGAAAATCATCATTATACAACCTTAAATCTTACTCCAAATTCATGTAGAGAAAAGAGTGAAGGGTAAGAAAGCTTTATATAGATGAAAACAGGTTTAAATTAGCTCCAAAGTGCTATAGGAATGAAGCCCTGATAGAAAAAAAAATCAAACCCCTTCGTTCCTTCAATTTTTTCTCCTCTACTCTTTGACTTAAGAATGCATGATTTAGTTCACAATTAGACCCATCTGCCATAATGCATGGAATAGCCATGGTAGTGGATGGTACAAAGATGGCCATCCTATTTTTGCTTCAATATTTAGGCCTACGTTGCTCAAAACATCTCTAAACCCAATCCAAATGTTGTAAATGAATCCAATAGGCCCATTATTCATCTTAAACTATCCTCAAACTAATGGTACTTACTTTTATCTAATAAATATTGACTAGTTCACTTAATCTAGGATGTTACAATACTGGGCGGTGTGCTTAGCAGTAGTACTACTGATACTAAGAAGCCCTTGACACCATTGATATGCCCTCTTTGCACTCCACACAAATTCAAAGAGGAGAACGAAGGAGAGGAAGGAGGTAAGGATGGAAAAGAATAATCAGGGATGAAGGAGATAAAGGATGAAGGAGTAAGTCAAGGATGAAGAAGTCGCTGCTAGAATCATGATGAGCATCATGAGGAAAGAGGAAAGGATTTGGTTAAGGCATTTTGATCATTTAAAGTAACCAATTCAACCATGGTTGCATTAGCTTTGATCAGTTCGAGGTTAGTACAATTTGTTCAAGTTGTCAAAACTCAAAACAATGACAACATACTATTTATTATCTTATTTTTTAAAAAATATAATAATTATATTTTGAAAGACTAAAAATATCTTACATTTTTTAACATCTAATTCCTCAAAAAATACTTTATATTTATGAATAGAGGGAGTATTTATAAATAATAACCTGTCCCTCTTTATATTCATCTTTTACATCATTATATTTGTCTAATTTTTTCTTATATCAATTTCTTAATTGTAATGAATTTTATCATATAAATTTAATAAATTTTTAAATTATATTTTAAATAATTATTCATATTTATACCAAGTATATGTTTTTGCCCCCAATATAGGGTTTGTTTGATTATATTTTCTTTTTTTATGTTCTTAAAATAATTATGTGCAATAACTTTTTAGAAAAAGTTTTGGAAATAATTTTTTTTTATCATCATTCTGAAAATCATATCAAAAGTTATGAAATAAAAATGAAAGAGTGATTTATTTTACTAACATAATTATTATCAATAAACACTTGATGTTTTATATGTATTCTCTGATTTTACAGAATAAAAAGCAGCAAGATATAAAAAAAGATATCATGATTTTTTTATTTTTCAAAATAATTTTTTTACTTTAAACAGATTTTAAAAAGAAAACATTTTTAAACAGATTTTTTTATCTTTCAAAACGAAAAATATTTTAAAAATAGGATTTTAAACAGGCTCATTATCACTAATTTAATCTTCCCAGTCCCTGCCTTGACCCCATTTCCTTTTCTTTTTCTATAGTGTTTTAAAACAGAACCTTGGACCTCTAGGAAAGGATGACCCCACATGACAATTGTGACAAACGGTAAAAAATAATAATAATTTGGAATGATCCAGTAATCGTTTTGAAGTGAAGCCACATGTCTTTGAATGCAATTCTTCGGAGGCCATTTGTCCTGGCAATCATAAAGTTTTTATTTGGATTGATTTTTATATTCCCTCTTTGTCCCTTTCCAACTCCCAAACTTTTCTCTCCCCTGTCACAAATAAAATAAAAAGCCAAGTCAATATCCGATTGAGAAGTCAGAACTTAATAATCATGCTTGATCATATGAGCATAAAACTCTCATGTCATGGCAATAATTTTTCCATTTACAAGACTTACCCAACATTTTATTTTGGAACAAAAAAAGAGCCAAACTATTACTTCGACCACAATTTAAGCAAAAGCCTTTCAACCATTATTTTGCAGGTGTAGTTATCAATCCAATGGATTTTAAAACGTGTTTGGTTTCATGTTGAGAATTATCAAAACTATGTATGTAATTGGCATGACACATGACAATGTTATTATTATTTTTTTTTTTTGGGCTTTTTCACTTCAAAATTGCTTAGCTTAGCAAAAGCGCCAATTTCTCTATCTATAGGTGGATTTAAAAAAATTAATTATTTAATTTCTATAATGTTAACACAGTTATAGCTTAATCTTTGAAATTCAACTTGATGTGACTCATTCTTTCAGTTTAAGTCATTTAATTCATTGGTTCCTACACTTCATGACTTGATTACAACCTCATCTTTGAAATTTTAGATATTTTTTAAAAGTTTATAGGGATCAGGATTAAATTACTGGAACTTTAGGGGTTATGTTGAACAAATAAAATTTCAGTGAGCGTTGTAATCAAGTGAGGATTGTAAGAATTAATAAATGATTAATTTTTCCTATGTTTGAAATTTATAAACCTATCAAATAAATATAATGATTGATATCTGATAACTGCGCTCGTGCAACAGTAATGTGGGACTGACACTTCACAGGCCCAAGGGTACGACCTTGACGCCACGGTGACTAAAAGACTCCGACGAAGTGTTGGGCCGAAATGGCCCACTACCCTAATGCCCAGCCTTCACGTATGAGACACCGGGTGAGAAAATGAAACGAGCGCCGGTCATTGAAGAGAGGACAACCATTAAAACTATTTGATAAATAAATGTGAAATATTATGTGTGTGTGTGTGTGTGTGTGTGTAGAATTTAGGGAGACAAAGGTTGGTGAAATAGAATTTAGTGGTCACTGTCTTATAAATTACTTGTTATTTACGTTGTGTGATATGTTAATGGAAAATATGCTGACATGAAAATACATTAACCTTGCATGATTAAAAATAAAAGGTAAAGGGGGAAAGAGCTTACGTGTACTGTTAGCTTAATCAAACTGAGTATAAGAGATGAGGATGAGATGACTTGTAGGTCAGCAAAAAGGTTAAAAGAGTTGGTACACACTTCACCAAAATTAATTTCATCGGCTCTAGCTCATGATTCTCTTACATACTTTTAAAAATATGAAAACTAACGTTGCAAATGGATCAAAGTAAAAGAATTGAGAACAACAAAATAAAATGATATGAACTACAAAAACACAATCAAAGTAGAGGGACTATTATTATATTTTGCCCGCTTAATATTGACAATCTGGAGAATCCCAACACTTACTTATTATTTTGAAAGTATATAAAATGCTTCTTCTTATGATGCAGATTCTGTTTTCTATTTTGGAACAAAAGTATTAAAATTAGGGGGAACAAATAATAAAGTGCAATCTAACAACAGAACTGAAAACTTTTCATATGTGCTTCGTACTAATTTTTAAAACTACATTAAGAGTTGAAAGGCAAAGATCTATGGGATACTTTCTAGTTTCAATCCCCTGCTAAGAAGATGGAGAGCCATCCAAGAGAGTCTTCAATTCATATTCGTATTTACGAGCGGTTTTCTGCAGAAGCGACGGCCTTGTGTCCTTGACCAGGGCTTGGACCTGAATGCTTCACCACTCCAATCTCTTGACCCCTTTCTAGCCAGTGGCCCTCACCCCGGCTCGGACCAGAGTTCTCGGTTCCCATCAAATTCTGAACCTTCGTCACCCTGTGGCCTGGACCAGGGCTCGGCCCTGACCCCTTCAATGTCCTGAATATCCCAACCACCTCTTCTTCTGGTTTCATCATTAATGGCCTTCCTTCTGATACACTCAGAAGAAGAACGACCACCACAATGAAGAAGGCCATGGATTTGAATCTTGCTCCATCCATGTTGAAAATCAAAGCTTGTTTAACTATATGTCTCAGGCTTTGATTTTGTTGCTGGACTGGGTTCGTGGGAGATCATATTTATAGTCGCTTAATGGCTCGGGGAACTAAACCAGATAAATCATTTTCTTGTTGCTTAGGAACCCACTAGCGAGGTTCTCGGATTGGAAAATGAAGTTGGAGTTGAATTTGAAAATGATAGTAGCTAAAAATGACATCTTATAATCACCAGTCAAATGGCTTTATAGTGTTAGTTTCTCATGCCGCCATGAGATATGACTAAACTGGATAACATTTGATGCAATTCATTAAAAATATCAATCCCTATTTTGCGTTCTCATATATATTTCATTAATTTGACCCTTTGGAAGAATCTCGTGTATCAAACTCTTTCAAAGAAAAGTCTCAACATGATGGCTTTGAACCTAACCTCCAAAGGGTAAAGTCTGAGTTTTAAGAGATAAGTATCACGGTATATGCTATTGCACTCACAAATAAAGAGACATCGTTCTAAGTTAGATTCTTAGATTCATCAGATAAAATAATCAACTTTTTTTTTTTTTTGCAGTTCCAGAAATATTGCTCTAATAAAATATACTTTAATTTCCTTGATTTTTATCGCGAAGAAGAGGGCCTTATTGAATTTAAAAAGGAAGGATTCGTGAGAAAATGACAAGCACGAGAAAGTACAATGGTCAATTTCATTTAGCTCATGCACGTAATTAAACGATGTGGACCACAGATGAGAAGCCACCAAAGTTCAGATATAAGTCAGTCCCGCTTCACAGATTCACACTACCTTTGCAGTAGTAATATTTCCTCTGCAAATCTCTCCCCATTTTAGTCTTCCTCCTATTTTTAGTCGGCGAACAGACGATTCGCTTTTGGGGAAAAAAAACATGTACATTTGAATAATTAATCTGTATTTGTGTGAAGTGTCTCTAGTCATATCCTATAAATCAATGTGTTTTTATAAAAGATAAAGGAATAATTAATTATTTGATCCTTATAGTTTTAACTTATCGTAACTCAATCACTAAACTTTAATTTGTTATAACTCAATCCTTAAAATTTTGACTCAGTTATAAATCAATTACTGAACTTTGCTTCTAGTAATTTAATTATTGAAATTTCAACTTCTTAAATATTGATCCTTATATTTTAAAAAATAAAATTATAAAGATTAAAAATATTTTAAAATTTGTTACTAATATTTTAAATTATTAAAACTTTTTAATCTTTATAAATATTAAAATTTTAAAATATTTTTAATCTTTATAATTTTTTTAAAATATAGTGTCCAATATTTAAGATATTGAAACTTCAAAAACTGAGTTATAACGAGTCAAAGTTGAGAGATTGAGTTATAATTAGATCAAAATTATAAGGATCGAATGATTAATTTTTTCAAAGATCAAATAAGGATTCATGTCTTTAAATTAAAGATACTTTTAAAAATATATGAAATTGAAATGTATATGGTTAAAGAAAGTGTTAGTTCGTGAAAACCCAATGTGCATTAAAGCATGTTAATTTTCACGAAAATGTTGTTTTACAGTTTTAGTGACCATTGATAAAAAGGTAGGGTGTTGGTTGAAAAAATAGATAAAAAAAGTGCTGATTAATAAAAAACTATCTATATTCATAACATGTCTTTTTAGTAAGGAATCAAGTTTTATTTTTTTCTAAAAGATTCTCACACCTAATTTTACTTTGAATGCAGAAGAGATAAAGCTAAATTATAATTTTATAAATTCCATTGTTATTTTGACTTGAATTTTTGAAATGTAACCCCATACTCAAGAATTTTTATTGTATTTAAAAAAAAATCATTAATTTAAGTTGCATTGAATGTTTGAAATAAGTAGAAGCCAATTAAGCCTAAAGGAATTGTTGTCCACACACATTCATACCCCCTTTCTACTTTCTTTCTCTCTCGTGCTTTAAAGAACCATTGTCAGCAATGGTGTTCAACAATCCATGTCATCAAATTTGCATGTACATATTTGCATCTTAAACTTCAATGAGAAAATTTCAATAATATCAAAGTCTTCAACTTAAAGATGAATAATATTATATTGAAAGCAATGTTGGTGCTTTGAGATGGACTTTTTTCTGCAGATCATTGTCTAATTTGGCATGCTGCAGATTGCTCCACACACACACACAGTGATAATTAGTTCTCAAATGCATGCTAAGCCAGAACTTTCAAGTTTCCAAGCAATTAAGTACATTGCATGTTCTGTAAAAAGTGCATTGCCAAAACTAGGAAAATCATAAAGTGAAATTAGTGGAGAGGCGTGAAAATAGAAGCACCTTTTTTTGAAAGCTCTAAGTATCAAAGAGGAAGTGTGCCAGGTTCACAAGTATTAATCAAATCTTTTAGAGATTCAGACGGTGCAGTATTTTAGATCTGAAAATGGCACAGGATCAACCCACCAAATTATAAATGGTCACATATCACTTCTCTACCTGGTACTTTCTTTTCTAACAGTCCAAATTTGGCACCATGAAGAAAAATAAAACACTAATTTTATGAAGACAAATCAACACGTGTTCACCACTCAGCATGTCGAAATTCTCTAGAGCTCATGATCAAATTCTTGAAAAGTTTATAAAGAAAAAGAACACAAGAAGCAAAAATGCGTGTACAATTTACATCATTTTTCTGTATCTTGTCTGATATCAACCAAAAAAAAAAAACAAAGAAAGAAAGAAAACTTAGAATAAAGAATCTTAGGACTTGTTTAGTTTCTGTTTCCATTTTTTTTAAAAAATTGTTTTATAATACAATTTTAAAAGTTTCTTTTCAATAAAAAATAAAATGAAAATCCATTTGATTATATTAATTTAAAAATAATTTTAAAATTAAAAAATAGATTGATAGTAATGATTATAAGTAGTTAATGATGATAATTTATGATAGAAATGAGTCAAAAAAACTGTAATTTTTAATAATTAAATGTAACGTATTTTAAAAATAAAAAATAACTAAAGTGACTTTAAGTTGTTTCTATTTTTTGTTCTTAAAAACAAAACTAATTTTAAAAAAATTAAATTAAAATACCTATTCAAACAAGTTTTTAAACTTTTTTTATTTTTAAAAATAAAAAAAACAGCTTTTAAAAACCGAAAGCAAAAGACTTTTGGAACTCCAAAACAAACACGCTAACAACTTTGTGGTAAACGATATTTGAAAATTTAAACTGTAAACGTGCCTAACAATTAGGAATTGACATGATCAAAATCTATCTTTAAGAACAGTTTTACTCAGTCCAGTAGTAACTCCAAATTGCCAAACTAACAAAGAAAGGCAATCATTAAATTAAAGTGTATAAAGTTATTCATCTTTCTATGAGTGCCTTTGAAATGATCAATTGGGTGAAGCAACTTTTCACGCCAATTAATTCAGTCCACACTGTGCTGGTCGCTGTCACTTAAACAAACATCAACTTTCAGAGCTCACGGTTGGGTGCTATTGGAGCCTAATTCTGAAACTTCAAGAAATTGTGGCAGATAGTGAATCAATTAAGAGGCCATTTCTTTGACTTCTCTTTATATAAGAAAATGAAAAGCTCTTATCAGTCTTTCCTTTTCTTTTCTTTTTTTCATGAGAATGTTACAGAAGAATCAAATCAGACGCAAAAATGTTGAAAATGACTTCAGAATATATAGCCAGCTTCACTTTCTTGTGCATCTAGAATTTAGATTGTAGTAAAACTAACCCTTGACTTTCAATAGTGAAACTGAAAACTAAATGGAATCTTCAAAGCTTTATTCTCTCCAAAATCATCCCATCATGCATGTTCAGTATATACTATTGGCATAGCTCATATACAAAAACACAGACACGCGCATATATATTGACATGTATTTTCATGTTAAAATTTAATTATTATTCTTATAGATTGCTCTTAGTTTGTATTTTGCAAGTTGTTAAGTTATCTAAATATAAATGGACTTGAATCGATGTAAATGTAAAAAAAAAAAGTGATATTGTATAAAGTTGTATTTAATAATTAATATATAATAATGAAAAAAAATCATAAATTTAAATACTGAAGTTTTGAATTAAAATGTAGTGTATTTTTTTATTATTATTATCCATTTGTTTTCTTCTCCTATTTCAGTCTCCCTGTTCCTAATATAAGTAAATAGGATTCAAATTTCTCAAAGTGCCGTGTAGGTTAAGAAAGGAAGAAAGGAGAGATTGATGACCTTTCTTTAAAGAATCTAATATACAGCTTGAGGCAAAAGGAAATGTCGCTTTGAAAGTTGAAAAATTGAAGGTGAGAAAGCAGCATTGAAGGGTGAGCAGCACAAGATTTAGTGTTAGCCAGCTGGCTTGATTTGTCAGGTTCTAATCTCCATATTATAATTTGTCAACAAATGCATGTTCATGATGTTCAAACCCTAGACAAATATGCTCAAAACCCTCCCATTTCTATCCTTTCTAAGCAAGAAATCTGGGATTTACACGTGCTTCTTTAATTTCATCAACCTCTGACTTGACTTAATGTACGCCATCTCCATTCTCCATGTTGCTCCTCACAAATCTGCCAGCTCACTAAATCCTTCACCATCAACCCTTCCATGCTGCAACTTGCATCCTGGGAACCTCGCCAGTCTAAAATAATTCTCCCACTTCAACTACTTATATATATAATGTTTGTTGTTTAGTTTACACGTGAATAGAAAATAAAGTCCATGGTACTGCTTGGTTTCTGTTTTCATTTATTATTTTTAAAAACTACTCCCTTCATTCGAAAATGTAAGGCATTTTTTATCGAATCTCATCCCCCAATAAAATAGTTACTTACTTTCAAACTAGTCACATATTTTTATATTTATCTCTATTAAATATCCTCTGATAAATATAAAGTTACTATTAATAGAGACATTTTTGAAAAAAGGTAATGATTATATCTCGAAATACTAAAAATATCTTACATTTTTTAATATTTAATTCCTCAAAAAATGTCTTATATTTTTTAACAGAGAAAGTATTTGGTAATACAATTTTTAAAATTATTTTTTAAAACAAAACAAAATAAGAATCTGTTTGATTACGTCAAGTAAAAATAATTTTAGAATTAAAAAATGGATTGATAGTAATGGTTATAAGTAGTTAATGGTGATAATTAATAATAAAAATTGATCAAGGTAACTATAATTTTTAATAATCAAATATAATGTATTTTAAAAACAAAAAAATGAAAAAATTATTTATTTTTTTAAAGCAAAAAATAAAAAAAGTTTTAAAAACAATTAAATGAAAACACTTATCCAAACATGTTTTTAAATTTTTTTTTCAAAAACAAAGAACAATTTTTAAAAATACAAAATAGATAGGCTTTATATATCCTTAGTATTCTTAACAAATAAATGTACTTAGACAACGTTTTCAATCACTAATATACCAGGTCTACGGTTTTTTTAAAGTCCATTGAAATATAGATAGATTGTGTGGTAGCTGTTGATTAAGATTGTACAAGGAAATTCTGTATAACTTAAGTTGGCTGAAATTCAAGCATGTAGTTCTATATATTATATTCACCATACCCTGCATGTTTCTGAATGTAGACCAAGCGACCAACCCTTCATATCAAACAGATATTTTGGCATTATTTCCAACTTAGTCAAACCCTAAGGACCTCTTTCCGTTATTTACTCGTTTCCTCAGCGAATTTCCGTCTCATTGAAGTGTGCACTTCCACTTCTTCGCTCCTGCTTATATAAACTACAAAAGTTGATTCCTTTAGTTACCGTACACTCCTACAATTGACTTCTCTCTGGTTCCAAAATTATGATCACTCTAGATGGAATGGGAAGGAACAAAAGGCGTTTCCCAGTTGGTGTTCTGGTTTTAGTTCTGTGTTTTCTTCTTCTTCACGTTCATTTACTTTCTGAGGTTGAAGCTCGGGCGTTGAAGGAGATGGAAAGAAGAACCTCCATTAATGTTGCAGAAATGAAGGATGATGGGCCAAGCCACGGTGGAGATCAAGCCCATTGGCCCGCAAGTGTTGAAGATGCCAGAATTCTAATACAACTTACCAATTCGGGTCCAAGCCCAGGTGTGGGACACTAGCTAGCTAGCACCACAATGACTGCCATTTTGAACTGAAAAATGATCTTGAAGATGCGTTCATGTGACAGTTTGGAGTCTTTTTTTTGTTGTCCTTTTGTTGTATGATTTGTTTAGATAACTTTAAATCACCAATGAATGTGGTTAAGACTAAATGCTAATATGTAGTTTTAGTCTTTTAATTTAAAGATCAGATCAATGTTTTCCCCCTTCTTCTTTTTTTTTCCACATTTGTTCTACAGGTTTTGTTATTAATATCATGTAACGATTTAATTATTAATGTCTGATGAGTCTTCCATTTCTCCCTCTCAATTTTGAGCAGCTTTTGAATAAATTCTTTATATGATAGCGACCAGCTGAGAAAAGCTTTGCTTTGTGATGGACTGGCATCAACAAGGGATTTTTGTTTTGATGGTAAATTCACAATCAATGTTCCTTCTGTGATTTTTTTGGTAAGAGAATGAGGGTTGAAGCCCAAAACAAAAGGACAATGTTCTTTATCTTCTTTTTTTCCTGTAAAAAGGTTATATTTATTTATTGACACTGATATATGTCAAGGTGTCTATAATAATAATAATAATAGAAGAAGAAGACAGGCCTCCCAACTCAGATAGTGGCTGTTCATAAATGTATTTATAGATTATTGGCTACCAATATCAGGGATAAAATGTGAGCTCATACTTTATTGATATATAAATTATGAGTGGCATGGTTGGAAAATTGATGGATTGATATAATTATTTAATTGAAGTAGATGCAAAATATTCTCTCATAAAAAGAAAGAACTTCATGGTTGCATAAATGTAGCCTTTTTGGGCCACGCCCATTAGACAAAGGCCACGGCCAGTAATTAGTAAGAATCCCATAATTCTCACATAGACCCCCCTGAGGGAGTGGGGAGCATTATCTTGGTTCGTACTTAGAAAAATGGATGTAAACTTTAAAAGAGTTGAAAACTTAAATGCTCTGTTTGGTTGGAAAGAAAATATAAGAGGAAAGAAAATATGGAGAGAAAATAGGAGAGAAAACAGATTTTTCCTTGTTTGGATAGGGAAGAAAAATGAGAGGAAAGAAAAAGTGGGAGGAAAATAGGGTGTGGGATTTACTATTTTTTCCTTCCGACTCTTCTTTCCAAAAGTAGAGAAATTTTGAAAGTAAAACTTTTTTCACTGTCTACCCCCCATCTCTCTTATTTATTTCGTGCTCTGACTCTCAACAGACTACTTAATTATATTAATTTAATTTTAATTAAACAGTTTGGTTTATAATTTTTAATTTTTATGGTTATGAATTGCATTAATTTAACTATTTAATTAAATAATTTAGCCATTGGTTAGATCAAGTGTCTAGAATTACATTAATTTAATTTTAATTATTTGATTTTAAAATATAATATAAAAATATATTTTTAACAAATAATTTGATATACTTTCACAAATATAATTACATGAAACATGATATATTTTGAAATAAGGGCATTATAGTTATTATTATATCTGTTCATTTTCTTTCTTCCCTATTTTCTCCTGTACATCTAAACAGAAAGAGTGATAATATTTTCTTTCCAGTTTTCTCTTCTCTCCATTTTCTTTTCTCTCATTTTCTTTCATTTCAACTTTTCTTCCCATTCAAACAGAGGGAAAATGTCATAGAACTTTTTTGTTAAGAGTATATGGCATTCAAAACTTTTTTCAAAGCAATGCCACCCTTAAACTTTTAAAAGGAGTGTAATAATACCCGACTGTTAATTCAATCAAATAATTAATCATTAACTCTCTCAATTTGACCCATAATTTTACACATGTCCTTGTTTTTTCTTTTTTCTTGTTCTTCATCATCTTCTTTTTTGACTTCACCTATGAGCCTAGAGTGTTCTATGAACCTAGAGAATTTCATCGGCTGCAAAACCCTCCATCTTTGCCTTCATTCTATTGTGAGTTCATTTACATCTTGGTCCTCAATGTTTATTTGCCATGAGTCCGTGCTTATTTAATCATGAGCAAATATCAAAGCTAGAAATAATACCAAAGCCATGAGAGCTCAAAAAACCAAATCATGAGTAAAATGCTACCTGAGATCTAAAAAGGAACCCAAAAAAACAAATTCCCAATCATAAAAACAACATCAGAGCTACACAAGCCAACTTATACAAAAGCCACTTCGTTCCACTTCCACATCTCTAATATCCTTGCCCATATCTAACTCCATCACTTCCTCATGATATAGTAACCTTATTGGAATTTCACTAATACAAAGGCACAATCCTGTTGTTAATGAGCATGTTAAAATGGCCATAGTGTTTTTCAACCAAAGAATCCAATCAAACTTGTACTTTATACCATAAGAAGACTAACTTAAGACATTATAACCTTAATCCTTAACGATGAGACCAATAAATGTAAAACTTAGATTCTCCTAAGTCTTTGAACGAAGAGAATGAGTTTCCCAGCTCATCATCCTGTAGCAGCAACAACAACAAACCCAAGTTCTTCTACTCAAAGGCTAAGAGCCTTTACTGACTGATATTGTGCCTAGCACTAGTTAGGGACAATGAACTAGTGACCATGAGTCTATGAACTAGTGAGTTTCAATGATGTTAAGATGAGACCATAAGGAAGCAAGCTTCAATGACTGGATTTGGAGAGAACCAATGTTCTTGGGTGAATAGATTTGGGGAAGACAACAAGGAACAACAAACTAGTGACGACTTGCAAGCTTTAGAAAGTGTTTAGTTAGAAGAAGAGCGAAGGGAGGGATTTAGCACTCTCCTCTTGTTGGGCTTGAAAAATTGGAGAGCTGGAAAGAGATTTTGCTCTCTCTCTTTACCTTGAAAAATTGGAAAGGAGAGAAAATCTATCATCCAAAATTTCCTTTGAATTCGAGAGATTGTAAAGGAAGGGATAAGATCAATATGCCTTTTGCAATAAGTTTAAAAGATATAGATATATTTTTTTAAATATCTCAATACTAATAAAATGAGGATAAAGTTATTTATATATAATTATTTTTTCTCCTTTTTTCCTAACCAAACAAAATAAAATTTCTCTCCTTTCTTTCTTCTCAAACCAAACACACTATTAGCAAATGAGATCTTGTGTCTTTGATTTTTATAGGTTTGATTCTTGAGCACATTGAAGAGGCAGATGATAGTGAGAAACGAAGGGGCAGAGGGGAAGAAGGGAGGGAGGAGAAGTCGTAAAGAAAGAGCACGTGTAAATTTGATTAAAGAAGAACGGCTTAGAAATCAACACGCGTAAATTTGTTTGGTCAACATAGCAATTTAATGCTCAACCCATGTTTGGATTACTGGGTGGGCCAAAATTTAAAGCTTCTCAAAAGTTTCCGGTGAAAATGTTACAAACAAAATAATTAAGATATCAAAAGCCCCTCATCAAATTACTTGCGTTTTAGCCCTGTCCAAAATCTCAGTTCATACCAAAGCGAAAAGCAAATGGAAATTCGTAGAACCTGCCACTGGTTACTGAAAGTCTGTATCAAGGTAAACCCTCAAGGCTAACCGGGTCACTCAAATTCTATTTCCATGAAGGAATTCATATTCCTCCGTCCCATCAAAATCAAACTCCTATCGCCGGCATCCTCTTCTACGGCCGATGTCGGTGGGACACTTCGCTTGTCTGGATTCGGATCATGGCACACTAAATATTACTCCAGCGTTCTTGATAGCTCAAACGAAGTCAAAGGGCGGAGGAAGGACGCCAAATGGCTTACTCTGCCGCCTTTCACTCCCACTGTTAACGGCGCTGATCTCGGAAAGGCACTCTCAGGCCGCCGGTCCGAAGTTAAACAGGTCCTTGCTGCTACGTCCTCCACTACGGCGCTCAAGTGGGTTCTGAGGTGCTGCCCTGAGCTACCTCGAAGCCTTGTGCAGAAGCTCTTTCGTCTTAGACAGGTAACTCCATTGCTCGTTTCTTTGGTGCTATGAGAGACCACAATTTGCTGGCGTTGGTTATGTTGATGCTAAAAGGCTCAATTTTAAAACTCTCAGTTGGTGTAGCCTTTCTGAGGTTTTATTTACTTCTTTTCTCATTTTTCATCCTCCATATGGAATGTGGATAATGGACGGTAATTGCATCCTTAATTGAATATTTTAGGCTCCGATGAACTTTGTTATTGCCAGGCACTCATACAACATGAGTATAGCACATTTTGTGATTAAAAATTACCTTGTTCCCTTAGGGCACACAGGCACAGTACTTTATTTGTACATGCTTCACTTTGCGGGGAAACAAATTGAAGCCTTTGAATTTGTTTCTCATGGCCAATGTATAACAGGATAAGACTCCCTCACAATATTTTTTAAATGCCTGCCTTTTTTCCAGCCTAATCAATCGGTGTTCACTGCTTTACTCCAGGTTCGAAGGGAATCTGCTTCTGTGGAGAACAAAACTATGGAAACTCAAGAAAACAAACATAGACTAAAAAGGGTACCCAACTGCTATATAAAATTGTCATTCTGCAAAAGTGAAAAAGTTGACCTTTTTGTGCATGTTCATCTTTTCATCCCTTTTCCTGTTATATGTAGAATGAAGGCTTTTTCACTTTTTCATATTAACGGATACCTTGGAGTGGTTTTACTTCTGATTCTTGAAAATTAATGGAAGGTGACAGCCAAGGACACCTTAAACTTAGGAGATAAGATCTTTCTTCCTGTTAGTGTTAAAGAGACGTCTCAAGAGAAACATGAATCTGGTATCACTGCTGCTGAAGTTAACTTTATCCACAGCCTAGTTTTGCATAAGGTTTTCAACTTTAATTCTCATTATTTGAGATTCTCAATTGATTGTGCTCCTAGAATGTAAATTTATATGCTTTATGAGATTCAGGATCCTGCCATTCTTGTTCTGAACAAACCTTCAGGGATGCCTGTTCAGGTAACTATCTGATGTTCCTTGTTGATTTTCTTTGTCATACTGATCTTCGGTGATCATTACTTAAATGTGAATCTCTCGTTGAATAAGGGTGGCATAAATATCAGCCGAAGTTTAGATGAAGTGGCTGCAGCATGCTTAACTTATGAATACTCAGAATCTCCTCGACTGGTGAGTTCACGATTAAGTTTCTGAGTGATGTCTTTACCATGATTCATATTATTTTCTGAAGCTATTTACAGATAGAATTACCTTCTTTCTCTAGATTAGGTAGAGGTGATATGCTTCCTCAAGCAGAAACCCTTGATGATGCTTTATCCTCTGCAAAATTATTGAATGTTTTGTGTATCAGGGCTCACAAAATATGGTATTATGCTTTAGGGGTATCACTTATAAAATACATTTCAGAAAAGATCCTTACCAGTCACGGACAACCTTTAAAAATAAATTAAACATATTTTTCCTGTGTGGTCTGCCTAATTTGATTGAAATTATTTTAATGTTCTAATACTTAGGAGGCCTATCCGAGAACGTTGTACCAATGTAGCAATAAAAATTATAAAGCTTTTTAGTTATTATTATTCTGTGGAAGATCATGAGAACTGTATCATCAATACCAAACTTGCAAATAAATGAGATTAGTTGGATTGTTTTTTTTTCCTATCTGACAATATCTGTGAATGGGAAAAACTAGCTACTGCATTGATACTTAAACTAGGCAGGATATTAGGTGCACAGACTGGACAGAGATTGTACAGGCATTTTGGTGATGGGAAGGACACACACAAGTGCTATAGTTCTGCATTCCATATTCCGGGAGAAAACTTTCAGGGCATCTGATGATGTGAGTGAGTTTTAATGCTTTATTTTTTTTTTTTTTTTTGCCTATTTCACCGGATGCCTTATATAGCCATGATTCCTTTTGAGCATTGATCTTCTGTGGTCATAATCTCAAGTTGCATAAGCGTATTTTTTCCCTGACCAGCTGGCACTTAATTATATGTAGATTGGTAAGAAAAAGAGAATCCTACAAAGAAGGTACTTAGCACTGGTCATTGGATGTCCAAGACGTCCAAGGGGGCTGGTTTCTGCTTCACTGGGTAAGGTTGGATGATATCCTTATTTCTCATCCCTTATTTCTCATTTATCCAAGTTTTCCAATTCCCAACAAAATTGCTGCACTCCTGTGCGCATCTTCTGGTTGTTCATCGCTGCATTTGATAAATTTATGCCTTTTTATGTTAAAAAAAAAATGCAATTAGCATTGATGTGGTTATCCATCAATATTGTTTGGCTACATTCTAGAGAATGCTAATGTTAGACATGTCATAAAAATTACTCCCTTCGGTCCTTTTTATAAGAACCTTTTTTGAGAGTTTGTCTTGGTTCTTTATATAAGACCCTTTTCAAAATGTCTATTGTGTTAATTATTTTTTCACAAAAGTGCCCTTAATTAATTAGGTGGAAAGAAATTGGCAAGAGAATGGAGTCCTTTTAATTTTAAGGGTAATTCTTAAAAAATAATACAAATGGTTGACAAATTTAATACCACTGCTTAAATAAATTATTTTCCTTAATATAGGACCAGAGTTAGTACTACAGCATTAAATAGTATCAGCTTATGACTAAGATTTAAAGGTTTTAGTGGATCTTATCTTAAAATAATGAGGTATGAATTTCCTCTGCTAGAAGAACCAAGTTGAAACGCATTTTTGTGTGCTCAAACATGCTAGGCCTTGAGTATGACCTCCAAACGCTCACGTGAAAGCTCAAGGATAATCTTTGGTTTATTCTCTAGGCATTCATGCAAACCATTGAAGCGATAATTTCACTTTGTATCTGGAGACTAATTAATTCCAATTCCTTGACATCCCAATAATGCTCGGCCTTTACAACTAGTTGGTTCTAACACACTAATTACTTCCAATTCCTCTAGGCTTGAATTTGCTACCTTGCATATGTTCATTATTTTGTTGAAGAACTTGGATCATCTGGAAAATTGAGTTTCCTCCATAGCGATGAAATGTACTATCCTTGATTCGGTTTCAGGTGGTGGTAGACAATGGGAAATCTGATAGAATAACTATCATTGACAATTCTTCAGAATTATCATCGCAGCATGCAATCACAGAATATCGAGTGATTGGGTCCTCATCACATGGTTAGTAATGAAGGTCACTTTAAATTTAAAATCCAATTTACCTTATTTAGAGTTTGCTGTGGGTTGATCACATCGGTAAGTATTTGGTTAATGATGGCACCCTGATGATTATGATATTATTTATGTAGAATATTCTAAAATTTCTATCTGTAGCAAATATGGGTATAGGAATTGATAGAGTAAAGCGTTACAGACGGATAAAAAATTGCAGAAAACAAAAGAAATAGCAGAGCAAGCTCTTTAGCTTGAGAGGCTAGGGTCTTATGAAACCATACTAACTATAGTGGGCTTATGTATTTTGCATGGAGTTCGTAGCCATACTACTCACTGACTTGCGAACAGTTCAGCTATATAGGTCTTACAATTTTTTTTTTTCAATAAAGCTATTTAACTGCGTCAAATTCAACCATTGTCACGCCCAACTAAGGATAGCTCTTTCGAATGTGTTTTTTGTATTTACACGGACTCGAACTTGAGATTTCGTGCTTAAGTGGCCATAGCTTCTTTTACTAGGGCCATCGCCTGTTGGTAGTTCTTACAACTTTTGTAGACATATTAAGTCAAATTGATTCTTCTTTTACATTCTCTTAGATTCTTACCCCTCATTCTACAATATATTCCGTTCTGACGGCCCTGCTCTCTTTCTTTTGCACCTCAACGCATGTGAGTTAGTTAGCCCTGTTATCTCCAATACCGATATCATATGCTCAGTTACTTCAGTTCGATCAGTTAACTTTAGCTTGGTAATTTGCATTGGGCACTCCTAATGATAGCTTACACGATTGAGTCAGTGCCCGCTTTTGCCCCCGCTTATCATGCAGGTTACTCATGGTTGGAGCTTTTGCCATTTACTGGGAGAAAACACCAGGTTTTACATTAACCATCTCATCTTGGTTTCACATTTAGTTATCAAAACACAAGACTTGAGAATCATCTAATCTTATTATCTTGTGCTGGTGCTATAGCTTCGGGTCCACTGTGCTGAAGTGTTAGGAACGCCAATAGTTGGGGACTACAAGTATGGATGGCAAGCTCATAGGAGGTGGAAACACTTCGATGTGCCAGACCAAGAAGATTCGAGTGAGGACGAAAAAGCACTCCCCTTCGGTCTCAATATGAACAAGGGAAGTATCTCGGAGAAGCATCCTCGTTTGCATCTTCATTGTAAGCATGTGGTCTTGCCGAATGTGTCCCAGGCTCTGCAAGATGTGCAATTATCTTCCTCCCACGATCTTTGGAATGTGGAAAGCCTCGAGTTTGTTGCACCTCTCCCTCCGTACATGCAAAGAAGTTGGGATCTGACAAAATCCTGAGTAATGGTTGAAAGGTAGCAGCTTGTCACATTCACTGGATTCAATCATGGCTCCTCCTAGAAGATGGTCTACTGGATATATTTGATGAACTCGTGTCAGTTAGTCAACACGTTTACGTTAAGGTTCTGGTGTTCAGATAGCCACCCGGTTTTTTTGGTGTGCGGCTTTATATGCTCCCCAGTCGTTCTTCCAATCATATCAAAACTCAATTTCCCCATCGAATCATTCATTCCTAAGCAAATTCGGATTGTATACTGCTCGGCAAAAATCATTGAAGTGATGGATTCCATGGTGAGGTATTTAGCTTCCTTGTCATCTCTCACGGACATCTAGAAATATTTTTCATAAAATTGCTTCAAGTAATTCTCAAGTGATGAATAATATTTCAGATGATAGTTTACCGTATAGTTTTGGAGACTCGTGTGAATGAAACGCGGACAGAGAGCTAACCATTTTACCAAGCACATAAAAGCTCTGACTCATTGGCCGTAACTGACTGTATCTAGTATAGGTATGTTTTTAGGTTCAAAGAGTTCTTATATATATTAAGTTATCTACTAACAAGATCCTTATATAAGTAAAAACAAAAAAACAAAAAAACAAAAAAATTGATTTCATAGTTTTGCAAATCATATATTAAATTTTCACTAGTCAGACTAACCTTTGTTGGTATTATTATAGCTTATTTAGTTTTATGTATACTTATTCTTTCTTGCAAACTAAAAACCGTCATAAAAATTGAAAGCATCCAAAAAGCCTTATCTCCAAAGTCAAGTAGTATTGTCATCTACGCTTTTCCCATACAAAATGTCGAAAAATTGATTATAAATCTTTCCATATTTTTGCCTATTTTGGTTCATATAAATAAAGATAAATGTGCATTTTTGCTCTTAAAATATTCTCTTAAAAATACTCAATATCCTAAAATATTGGTTAGAATAATTTTGCTCTTGAAATAATGAAAATAGAGTTTTTTTTTTCCTTGTTGAATTTCTTAACAATCAACATTGAAATCTTAGTTAATATTTTTAATGTTAAATTTGATGGCAATAGTCAAAATGTTCTGTTTTAATTACTTTAAAGGTAAAATTATTCTAATCAATAGTTTAAAATGATGGGTGCTATTTAGAGAATACTTCAAGAGCAATGATGCATCTTTACTCTATAAATAATCACCTTCATACTCAACGGACATCTGGCCGAAGTACTTTAGTGGTATTTTTTTCTCAAAACCCCTAAAAATTTTAAATTTGAATACTGAATGATAAAATATTTATGCCTGAAGTTTAATGTAGACATAAAGAAGGCAAATTTTAAGTCAATGAATTAGTTGCCCAAGCATACTTTTATATAAATGTATTTTAAGAAATACGTTACTGCTTCAACTGGGCTGTATCAGAAAAACATATCAAGTCAAATACATCACACACACCCACTCCGTCAAACATATTACGAACATCGTTACCATGAGGTGGCAATAGCGAATAGCCATCGATGCGGTTGGTGACCCATGGCGTGCGCCTTTGTTAAAGCTTTAAGCCATCTTTTTATCTTTGTGCTGACCACCTCACCAAACCCAATAGAATAAAACTTATCAAAAGAGAAGGTAAAGTTTCCAATTTCTATATCCAATGTTTTTCCTTCATGACAAAATAACACCTTTTTGTTTTCCATTCTTAAAAGATCTCCTAATTTTCTGTTGAATGATATTTGTAAATATCAATTTAGACAATTAAAAATACAAGAGTTTCAATAAATTAGTAGGAGAGTGACTTATAAGACTTAAATACAATGTTTATAAAACTTTCACATTTGTATCTATCTGAATTGCGTTTTTAGAGACCACAGTCACTGTAGTAAAGTTCGTATCTATTTACGCATGCAACTTGAAGTATAACCATCTCAAAAAAACAATTCTTGCATTAATTTCAATTATAACCCATTATTTGATAGAAACAAAAGATCAGATGGAGCAAGATCCTTAAAAAATAGAAACAGAGCCCTAAAGTCTGAATTAGAACATTATGGTCTCATTTGTTCGTTGGAAAATAATGGAATGAAATTGATTAATAAAATAAAAATAAAAATACATAATGATTCATGTGTATAGAAGAGATAAGTCAATCATATTCACGAACAAGTTGAGTAATTTAATTTGTGAGATTGAGAATTATAATTTTTTGATACCATATAAAAAAGAATATGATCGTAAGAGAGAATATATAAATTTTGCCACTATTTAACCTGGCTCATGATTGGAATCATATTTAGAATGAGTTATCGTTTTCTTTTTTTGGCTGAAATATAGAGGATTAGAATAAGACGTCGATAATGGCTAGGGTTTAAAAGGAAGAAGATTGGTCGACAATATGAGATGGAGGGATAGTCGTACTCGAGTAGTAATGTTTAAGAAAAATCAACAATGAGCCCAGCAAACCTGTCCTTTCAACGGAAAAGTGGACCCCGATTCTCATATTATAAGTTGCGTACAAATTAAAATGCATAAAAAGTATTCATATAAAATAGAATTGATTTTTTTTACCATCATAATTGATTCATTTTTACAAAACTAAAATAGTAAATAAACAAACGAATAATCCACCTTAGAGGGGACGTGCTGGGTCCCTTGTTATCATGTCAGGCAATAGTCATTGAGTAGGGTTGTGTAAAAATACTCTAATCCTATCTAATTTAATTTAACTCGAAATAGTTCTAATCTTGTTTGTTCTGTATAGAGATTAATCTTTTAGAATTAAAAATTTGAAAAAATTAGACTATTTTTTCAGATTGAAGTGGACAAGAGACTAGGCATCCGAATCACTTAGTCTGATCCAGTCCAATTAATTTTTTATCATAATTATAATTAATTTATTTTTGACAAATACTTCAAGTGTGATTGATGTTAAGGGGATGATTGTATGAAAATTTATTAGATTTTTTTCTAAATTATTATTGTAATGTAGTACTATTGAAGTTTGTTGAGTGCTGTTGTTTTTGTTAAAGTTATAAATTTAAATCATTTAAACTATAATAGAAATAATTTTTTTTCCTTGTTGGAAATTATTATGAATTTTATTATTATCGTTATTATTATTATTATTATTATTATTATTATTATAAGTGTTTTTACTATCTTAATTGAGTTTATAGGTTAAAATGAATTATTGCCTTTCATAGAGAAAAGAAAAAAAAAACTAAGTGAGTACTGGACTAATAGGACCAGTCTCCCAATCCTATAAACCAAACTAGTCATGTTAATTTCAAGTTATTATTGAATAAAACCGAACTATGGATTGCTTAACTTAGTCCTTTTTATAAAAGAGATCGGACTTTAAGTTAGGGTGAAGTCCATGCCATCCTGTTCTTTGTGCAGCCTTACATAAGAAAGAGTCTACCATTTACCAGTTCGATAAATAGAATAAAATCAGCAATTAAAAATATTATAATGCAATAAAATAAGATTTGAATTCTCAAAATATTTATATTTAGTATTTAATAATAGTTTGAAAAATATTTTTTTTATCTTCAATATGAAACATATTATGAATATTAAGAATTATGTGGATGCTCATCTCTCTTATCTCTTCATCTTCATTTTCTTTCATGATACTCCCACCCTTAAGAGTGTCAATTATGTTTCATTCGTCATTATCATTTTTGTAACCCTTGATATAAGTCCATGCTTATAAACAAAGCATATCATTTGTATTGTCAATATGAAGGAGAATATAAGAGAGATTATCCTCATTTCTATTGCTTTTGTTCTTTAGCTCCTCCTCATCTTCTCATTCTCCCAATATTTTATTTATAACAAGACATTTGATGTAGTATTAATTATTTTTTTTAATATTGTCTCTATTTGAATTCATTAACTATGAAAGAGAATGTAATATAAATTTAATTTTTTTTTATTTAAATAGAAGTAAAATTGAAGGTTTATCTTTTTTATATAAAATTAATTACTTAATTACCTCTCCTTAACTTCCATGAGATAATTAAAAAGGCCTTATAATAAAGATTGAACAAAATATATTAGAAGTATCATGTGATCTTTAGGATTTTATTTTTCTCTTATCAAGTTAAAATAAATATTAATTTTAGCACATAATTTTGGATCTCTACACTATGTTCGAATTTTGTTATGGATCCCTGTATTTTTTTTTAATATTTTAGATTCTTTTTTTTATTTTTTTATATTTTAAATTTTTATAACACCACTCATAAAGAAATATAGAATATTAAAAAATAAAAATGTAAGAATTTAAAATATAAAAAATATAAAAGTCTATACCAAAACTTAAAAAAAAAAGTTATGCTTTCTCATAGAGTTATAATACAAAGCGTAGGTGAATGACTGCTCAAAAGATGCTCATTTTTTGTCAGCAAGAAAGCGTAATACTGTAAGGTCTTGTTTGGTACACAATATTGGTGAGCAGGGGTTGGGATTGGGTTAGAATAATCTCACATTTATCATATTTGGTATGAAGTATTCCTTAATACTTAGGATTGCTCAATCCCATTTAGGTGGGGATATTGAGACCCACCACCCCTATGGTATTGCTTAATCCCACCAAATTAATAATAGGATTGATAATTTTTAGATTAAAATGCCTCCATCCTTTCTTCCTTGTCTCTCTCTCTCTTTGCTTTCCACCTAGTTGAGCGTCTTCATCGAGCCTTTTACCCTTCGCCTTCCACAAGTGCCAACCCCAACACCAGCCTCTCCTCCATCGACGCCACCAAAAAAGTCGAAGAGATTGAAAATAAGATCTAGCGGTGATTTTGATGGTCTCTCAGTCTTGCCTTAGAGATTTCATGATGCCGGAGATCAAAGGTTTCATAACGTCGATTGAAAAGTCTTCACCGTCCATTTCTACATTTTGTTTAGCTTTCTTGCTCTGATCTATTTTCATCCCATCTACTAATTGTCATACTTTCACTCCTCTTATCAACTGATTTGAGATTTGGTTCCCATTGGTTTGAGTTCGAATTCACTCACCTTTAGATCTCGTTCGAGATTGAGTTTGAGATGTGGTTCTCAGATTTGGTTCTAGTTGTTATGCATATAATGAGAATGCCTGAATTTGAACTTGTGGCTAGACTTGGATTTGGTTCATGTTAAAGATGGAGTTTCAGATCTATCAAGACTTTGTATTTTCTTTTTTAATGATAAGGGCCATTTTTGTCTTTTGATAATTTTTTAATTGATTATAAAATAAAATTATTGTAAATATTCTATTTAAATATTATTTTATATCAAAATCACTTTTAAAGTCTTAATTCTAACGTTAATTTTAATTTCAATATCAATATTAATTTTAATTTTAATTTTTTTAAATTGAGGCTTGCGTATCAAAGACGCTTGATAGTACTCTCCTTGGACCTGTATGAAGAGGTGACGTTTTGATGACGCAATGATGTTCGATGCAACTCAGAATATAAGGAAATATGCCATCTGCCCCTAATTATTGTTTATGCATGGAATAATATCCCTCATTCGTTAGTGCTTCAACAGTAGGCCAGCCTGTGCGAATGTGGCATCTATCCCAGCAGGTTCTTGTTCATCGCTTTTGGTTAAATTTGTATATATCACACTTCCAATTCAAAATATAATAACACATGTTTGTTAGAGGTTATGCCTACTATTTGTACATACTCAACTGTAATTTCTTATTTCAAAAGAATGTAATATTCTCTCCAGTTGTGTTTATGAGAGAAAGAAAATAATTATTTTAATATTATTTACAAGTCATGTCATTAGCCTTGTTATAACAATTTCTTTTTCTTTTATCTTGTGAAATATTGATGAAAAACTATGCCAATTTAATAAAAATAAATTTAATTTTTTTTAAATTTTTGGAGAGTTAATGACATTTAAAATTTTTATTAATTCTAATAAAGCATATTAAAAGTAATTTATAAATATAATCAAAAGGTGTATATAAATATATATGTATATATATATAACACAAGTTTATAGACACTAATAAGAGTTGGGTCTAACAAAAAACATGGGTGGCAAACTGTGGTACAAAAACTCTATTGAAAGAAATATCCACGTGTAATGTCTAGCTATGTATTGAACATGATTGAAAACACAAATTTAGTCATGGTTAAGAGAATTTTGACACAAGAATTGTTTGATGGGAGATGATCTAAAAATAAACAGAAACATAATTCAATAAAAGATACTAATAAAATCATAATTTTTTATTTTCTTAATTATAAGTCACTTCTAATTACTTTACCAAAATCAAGAGAAAATAATTAAATTATTAATATTGTCTAAAAAAAGAAAGAAATTTTTCAACTGATTTTTATTAAATGTACTTTATTTGAAAACATTTTTTTATTTGAAAACATTTTTCTCCCATGCAACTTTTTGCTCCCTGTTTTTTGAAAATTCTGAAATAGTCAAGTTAGAAAAAAGTAATAAATAATTTAATTTTTAATATATAAAATAACTTATAAAAAGAATCATATATTTTTTTTAAAACACAATTTATGTATAAGACTGTAGGGATTAACAAGTTCTCATACTATTACATGCAAATATTTTGACAGTAATAGTTAGAACTTTTACGCGTTCAAGTTTATCCGTTGCAATGCTTCTTACATATCCAAAGGAACAATTACACGTTGGTCAGGAAAAAAAAAAATTATCATAAAAATTTTTGTAAAATTTATAAAATATTTTTAAATTTTAAATCTTACACATTTATAACTCAATAAAAAATATATAAAATTAAATAAATTAGAATTATAATCTGTTATTATAAATTTATATTTTTTATAAATTGGCAAATATTTTTATTAAAATATAAATATATAAATTTAAGATTTGAAAGTATTTTATACTTTTTCTATTAAAAAATATAAGGTATTTTTAATTAGATCTCACCCTCAATAAAATAATTATCTACTTTTAAACTAACTCTATCTTTCTATACTTACCCCTATTAAATACCTTATAATAAATATAAAATCATTATTAATAAGGACACTTTTAAAAAAAAATAATTACACATTAAAATATTTAAAAATATAACATTTAATTTTTTAAAAAATATTTTATATTTTACAGTAAGAAGGGTATATATTTTATAAATTTTTTGATAATAATTTTTTTTTAGGTAGATGTTATTTTCCCTATCCCAAGGTATCGCGGCACCAAAGTGATATGATAATAAAAACCGTATTATATGACACGACATGAAAGGCCAAGATTTTTGGAGGAAGGAGGATGGAAGATGACTAGTCATAGAGAAGCAAGCAGATGATTGTCACCAACTCCTTCACCAACCCCGCCTGCAGATCTCACCCGTTGCTGTTCCAATGTATCCATCAATCCCTGGCGTAGTGGCATGCCATTTCTGAAATAATAATAATTAAATGTATATATTTACTTATTTCAGGGGCAGTCTTCTTATCCTCACTTCCTATTTGTACTCACGCGCTCTCAAACCTGTCTCATCCTTTCCTCTCCTCACTCCGCTTGCCTTTTCCTCTTCACTTCATCTCTCCACCTCTGAGACAACATGGGCAGCCTCGAAGGAGAAAGAACAACTGTTGGATGGGCTGCCAGAGACCCTTCTGGGATTCTCTCTCCATACACCTTCACTCTCAGGTATTTCCTTTCTTTACAAAACTTGTCTTTCTTTTTTTTCCTTCTGTGTTTTGGTTCCCCCTGTTTTAACTTCCCTATTATTTTCAGAAACACAGGGCCCGATGATGTGTATATCAAGGTTCACTACTGCGGAATCTGCCACTCGGATCTGCATCAGATTAAGAATGATCTCGGCATGTCCAATTATCCCATGGTTCCCGGGTAAAACAACTGATAACAACCCCTTTAAATTATACTCTAATGGCTTCCGATCCTCTGTTTGTGTCTCTGAGAGCTGACGAGAGTTCTTATATATATATATATATATATACAGGCATGAAGTTGTGGGAGAAGTGATCGAGGTGGGTCCGAATGTGAGCAAGTTTAAGGTCGGAGAATTGGTCGGAGCAGGACTCATCGTTGGGAGCTGCAGAAATTGCAGGGCATGCAAATCTGATATCGAGCAATATTGCGGCAAGAAGATCTGGAATTACAATGATGTCTACACCGATGGAAAACCCACCCAAGGTGGCTTTGCCGAAACCATGGTCGTGGATCAAAAGTAATCAATCGTCATCTTAACTTATATTCCAATATTTCCTCCAAAGCTCCCTGCTTTATATTCTTTGAAAAGTTCCAACAAAACAAATCCCGCGTAGAAGTTGAAACCTTTGTATGGAGACCCAAAGTTTTATGCTTTATACATGGTCTTCAAAGATTCCTCTTGAAAAACAAAACAAGCAAAATCATAAGTAGACGCACTTTTTCACCGATTCTGAAGCCGTGTTTTGTTGATTGTGTTTTTCAGCTTCGTTGTGAAGATACCAGAGGGGATGTTGCCGGAGCAAGTGGCTCCACTGTTGTGCGCCGGCGTGACAGTGTACAGTCCACTGTCGCACTTTGGACTGAAACTGAGTGGGCTGAGAGGAGGAATATTGGGGCTCGGAGGAGTGGGACACATGGGTGTGAAGATAGCGAAGGCCATGGGACACCACGTGACAGTGATAAGCTCTTCGGAGAAGAAGAAGCAGGAGGCTCTGGAGCACCTTGGAGCGGACGATTATGTGGTTAGCTCAGACGAAACTCAGATGCAGAAGATTGCTGATTCACTTGATTATATCATCGATACCGTGCCAGTGGGTCACCCTCTTGAGCCTTATCTTTCTCTGCTCAAAGTCGATGGCAAGTTGATCTTAATGGGTGTCATCAGCACTCCCCTGCAATTCGTCAGCCCCATGGTCATGCTTGGTACTATCTCTGTCTCTCTCAATACATCTCTGTGTAATTCCTTGTTTGCAAGATTGACAAGCATAATTTCTTGGCAGGGAGGAAGATGATAACGGGAAGCTTCATAGGGAGCATAAAGGAGACGGAAGAGATGTTGGGGTTCTGGAAAGAGAAGGGTCTGAGTTCAATGATAGAGATGGTGAAGATGGATTACATCAACGAGGCGTTCGAGAGATTGGAGAGGAACGATGTCAGATATAGGTTCGTTGTTGACGTTGCTGGCAGCAAACTTGATCCATGAAACACGTGCCATCCTATAATTCTTAAATAACCTTCTGCAAAACTTATGATTATGATGCACGATGTTTGTTCTTCCTGTCAAATATTAAATGCGATCTGTTTTCAAAGGATCTCAAATTTTCTGCCGGGAACTGTGGGTCGGTGTTTATCTGTAATACTTAAATGGTACAGGTATTAGGTCACTAACTCTTTGACGTTTGTTAATCTACCTGCTAAATGATTGGAGACCCGAATATGGAGTATGTATATTAAATGCTTAGCATGTTTCTCCAAACAGGAAAAAAAAAAAGAATTAAGGAGCAAATATATACCAATTTTTTTTTCCCAAAATGTTTGTTGTGAGCAAAAAAGGTTCCTGAGTCTTAAATGATAACAAATGGTTCCTGAATTCGTTTATCACAATTTACCTAAATGTAAAAGACAAAAAGAAGTTAAAATTACAAGTGTTTGATTAATACTAAAGATAAATTACAAAGTAATAACAATTACAAGACTACAATGAAACTTGAGAGTTGTCTAACAAATATAAGAACTAGAAGTTTGAAAGATTTTAGTATTTGAAAGGTGTTATTGTTTGGTCCTGCTCTCTGTGACTTTCTCTTCCTTTTATAATGGCTTAATTGAAACGATTGCTCCCATGAAATATAAAACTTGTTCGTGAAATATCAAGGATTCAATATGCACAGTCCACAAGATTTATGACAAGATTTTTCTATTCATAACGCGTTCTGTTGTTAACGTATAGTTAGTTTGTGTCTTCGAGATATTCGTAGATAATGGCCATGACTTTATGAGATTCAGGGCCGTCGAGGTTATAGTTTTGTATTACAATGGTCTAGATGGTGGCTCCGAGCTTTAAGGGATTCAAAGACCTGTGCTTATCTAATCTAGTCATTCCATTATGATCTGTACTAACCCTATTGTTAAATCACTTATTGGGTCGGATGTTTTAGTTATTTAGCCCATTTTATGTTATAGTCAATGTTTTAATTTTAGTCCAAACAATGCCTCCCGCATGCTAGTAGCTAGCAACTATATGCCACATGGCACGTTTGAAAAAGGATTGAAACATCATTTCATTTTTATTTGCCTTCTTGACAGTATAAATTTTTCCTTCCCCTTTCTTGTTAGTCCTCTTGTTTTCTCTACCATTCCTTGACTATTAAGCTTATGCTCCTTGTTCCTTTCACTTCTTTGCTCAATAATGGTTTTTTGTTTTGCTGACATTACTTCTAATGTTACCTCATCCACTATTCTCATTGGAAGCTTGCTTGACTCTCTAGCCACTATCCAAAATCCCATTGGCCCTCTAGGAGGACTTATTGTGGTAAATATTCCATCTTGAACTCGCATTTGTCTCGATTTAAGTTCTTAATCTAATATTCTTCTTTCTTTCCTCCTTAAGAAGTTTCATCATTCCATCTGTGCAATAGTTTCTAGTGAGATTCTTTCCTTTGGTCAGATTCTTGCTTTTTTGGGTATAAATGTTGATTGCATTTTACTTTGTTTCATCAGCACTTTTCCCTAGAGCTTTTATATGTCCAACCATAGCAATGTGTGGTATTTGTCTATAGCCCGAAACCTCTCTAATGCAGTAAGACCTACCTAGCTAAATTTGTGGCCCCTAACATCAGTTCGTGACCTCATACTAAGCCAAATGACATTACCTTTTACTAAATCTTCCTGCCAAAAGCTCTACAACTGGGCCTAATCTCCTCGTCCTTGGACCAATTGGGTCAAAAGTTTGAGGCCAACTATAAATTGCATTAGAAGGAGATGGGTCTTTATGACCTAATCCAGCTCTAACTAGTTAATGTTAATATCCCTGTTAGCTTGATGACGGCCTTTTTGAGCTTCTGAGTTCCCAGCTATAATGCTTTCTTTTTTAAGTTAAGTCCCATGACCATCACGCTCTTAAATGTGTTGATGTTCCTAGGGTTGCTGATTATCAAGGAGGAGAATTTCTTTGCTATCCCTGTGAAGTATGAATCTTATGTTACCCTGCCTACTGAGCTTGAATCCAAGATTAAAGGTATTATTTCTTATACTAAGATCATGGAACTATTTTTAGAGAAATTCGCTGATAAGCCTGTGACCCCTATGGAGCACTTAGTTTTTATCTGGATTTTATTAGATCAGTAAATCTTGGCCCTAGGGGGAGGAAAGCCTGTGCAATTTCATCTGAGAGTAGCTCAATCCCTTCTGTGCAACAATCACTTGGCCATAGATACTATATTTCTTTGCCATCTTTATGGTGGCATGAGGGAGCCCTTGCATAAGAAGCCCTTTACAATTTCTATGGGCCTGTCTAGTTTCTAAAAGCTACATAACACTGTTTACTTTCCCAAGCTTCATCAAGAACCCTTTCTCCAAGACCCAGGCATCTCTCATCCTTTCACTTACTTATTAGGCGTGCACCTGCTACATGAGAAGAAGAATTTCTTTGAATTCTTCTACCAGCAGAATTAGTCCCTACAGCAGACCCTAAAAACCTTTAATGTTTTGGATTGTTGGATTCCCATCTGATATTTATTTATGGTGGATATGAAAAAGAAACCCACCTCTTTGCTAAGGGATGAGATCTTCCTCTCGGCCATTACGCCTAGGAAGATGTAGCTTCCTTTTACTAGTTCTTCCTCTAAAACCTTGAAGGTTTTTGTAGAGTCTTATCATTTCCAACTGATATCAGGCTAGTTTGGTCTTAACCAATGTAAAATAAAATTGTTTGTTATTAAAACAAAATGAAGTGATGTCATTTTGCAAATGGTGACTTATTTATCACGTGAAAACACTTGGTTATATTAATGGAAATGAATTTATTTTGGATTTTTCACTGTAAGAACTATTTCTTGTTCAAATGAAATACAATGTTGTTATTTTATGATTGGTGACTTATTCACCACATAAATACAATTAGTTTTGTTAATGAATACTAAGGGGCAATTATGTATTTTCACAATCATAATTGAATATAGTTAGGACCCCTATAATTGCAGTGTTAAATTAGAATTCTTTGGTCTTCAACTTTGGATATGTCTCTTTGGGAATCATTGGTTGTGATTTTTCCTATTTATAACTATATTTGGTGATAAATATATTTATAACTATATTTATAACTTCGCTCATCCTTTATTCTAGTAGCATTCCATCCAGTGCACCTTACATTCATTTTAATGTGATTCATTTTTCAATTTTAAGGTGGTTCATTTTCTTAAATACAAGTCCACTAGAAAATCATGTAAAAAGGTAACTTAAATCATCTCAGTGTATAAACAATTTCTATAACTTAAATCATGTTTGTATTATTGGTAAAGACATAATGAGCCAGCTAATCAACACAATTATTTGCTTTGCCAAAAGCATATTTAAAGGTGACTATCCATTTTTTCATAATAAGTTCTCTAATTTTGTTAATAGTTTCAATGAATGGATCATTTACAGAAAACTCTTTACAAATGAACATAAGTACTTTAATAGAATTAGGGTAAATGTTAACTTTGTCAAACTTTTTAGTCTAACATATGTCAAGACTTTCAAGAATACTCATAAATTTAGCAACTATACCATGATAATCAAAATATTTAAAGAAGTCCTTAATCTAGTTCTCTTGATAATCCTTGATGATTCCACCAGAAGCAGCTATATCATGATTGTTGACTTATCCTCCAAAGTATGGCTCATATTTTAAATAAGAGGGAATATGATTGTCAAGCTTTCATAGTTTCTTTGATTGGAGGCATAGTGTGGTGTTTATGTTGATAAACAGTAGCTCAACTACTTTAATCTCCATCGAGTTCAATTTGATCGGACAAGTCGTGACTTGACTTTTTTAATTTTTTATTCTAACTCCTCATATTGACATTTTCCTCTAGTCAATTTACCCCACTTTATATAAAAATTTGGTACTTATGATGATAATAAGAGGGTTGATTAAAGGGACCAAAAGAATAAGAACTAACTAAACATGTCTTCATAATTTTCCTAACAAAGTTATTGCTATTGAAAGAAGAAATGTTCAAATAGACATCCTAATTTCTCAAGAGTAGCCTTCAAGCTTAGTTAAGGCTATTAGCCACATAACTAATTGCTCGTCGAAAAATTCCTGTTTGGTAAGTTAAAGCTTTTGACATAGTCAAGGTCCACTATGAGATTCCTATATCCTTTTTTCCAGCAATATCTAATCCAGTAATTAGAGCTGATAAACCAATGGGACCCCTTAGATCCTCCTTTCGTGTGACAGCAATAAAAATATAATCTTCTTGCTCAAATCTAAGACCTGCTATTTCTAATTTAATAACATTTGAGCCTTTTTAATCATTAATGGGAGGCAATCTATTATAAGCTTTCTTATTAGCAGTGTAAGTTGGCTGGTTGAACTTTCACTTAGTTATCAAGATTTCATTTTTGACTTTCTTTCAAATGGGTTAAGCCAAGCTCATATGTAGGACTGTTGCATACAACAAAAAGCATGTTTCCAAGATAATACTCCTTCGCTCCTAAATATATTTAAGAGGTTTGTTTTAGTTTTAAATATAAGATCTTATCTCCCATATTGATTATTTGTTGTCAAACTACCTCCATGGTTAGGTTGTTGTATGATGTAAAAGCTATATTAATAAAACTCTAATATAAATTATTAAAAAGAGAGTTAATTTAGGAAAATTGGTACACATTTTTTATAAATAACTAACTAACCTTTTTTTTAATATATGTGAATTAGTTAACAAGCTCTTAAGATATGCAAAGGGAGAATCCTAGAGCCAACAATTTAGGCTTATTCGAATTGGTTTAAAGTATTCCACCATTTAAAAAAGGCCATATAATAAGGCATAGCCCTAACCTTTTTTTTAGGTTGATTCAGGCTGGCCCGTTAGGCTTGGCCTAAATTACTGGTTCTACATGTGTATAAAGCAAGTAATTTTGGCGATTAGGTTCAATTCAATTCGGGCTTAAAGTATTATAACTTTTTAAAAAAACTCATATAGCTAAATCCAGACTTAACTTTTTCATATAGGTTTAGGCTAACCCATTGAGCTTGCCTAAAATTATCAACTATAGAGAAAATGAAGTTCGATATTTGAATCAAGGGCTTTAATTGTAACTTGGGCTTCTATCAGAGTACTGTTGCTAAGTTATAGGCTTTAGATTGGGCTTGTAAATATGTTGGAAGAGGAATGTATGGAATGTGCAAGTCTAAATTGTTACTATAGAAATAACATAGTTAATAAATGAC